AAATTAAATACATTTGAAAGGGAATGAGAAGAAAAACTTCTCCAAAACTTATCAAAATAATAAATTATTTTGTTACATATTATATATGTTTGATGTTCTGAGGGTGAAATGAGGAATGGTGCTGAGAACACAAGGAAACACAAGAATAAGTAAAACACAGGTTGAGAAGATATAAACTGAAGTAACAGGAATGATAAACACAAGAATTCCAAATATACAGAAACACAAGAAATTAAAAAGGAACAAATCAAGAACTAAGGGTGTTTTCACCGAGACACATTTGGCCTGCTTTAAACGGACCAGAGTTTGTTTCCCCCTTTGATCCGGACCCTTTATGCAGGTGTGAATACACTCATACAAACCCTGGTGTGGATCAAACAACCGGACCAAGACCCATTTTTGAGGTGGTCTCAGTGTATACAGACTGGCCTCAAACCAAACCAACTACAGGAAACATGCGTCTTTTTTGGACTTCACGAGCCACCGTTGCTAAATAACATTAGCCCTTCAGTGTTGCTAACACTGAGCTACAAAAAAGGAGCTGTTGTGAGCCAGGAAACACAGAGCCTCTTGTCTCCTTTAGGTTGCGACAYGCATTTGAGAACGCTGTCCCAAAACTATAAGTATATCATCAAAACCTCCACTGAATGAGCTGCCCTTGATATTCTTGTATTATTCCGGGTCTGTGCTCTGTCCTGCCTCTGTCATTTCTGTCCAATGGGAGCGATGACCGTCACCTGCATGGCTTTGTTTATAAATCATAGTCCTCTTACAAAAAGCACATTGTGAGTGCAAACCACGGCAAAGGAAAAAAAGGTCTGCTATTTGTTCTGGACCAAACAAGTGGACCAAAGGACCTTCCTGGTGTGAACACACCCTAAAACACAAAGAACCATAAAAGGATCCTGACAAACTGACTGTTTGTGTTTTAGGGTTTCAACTCCAAAAGGTCATCAGTTGTAAATCAGATTTACATCAAATAATTGTTACTTTYTKCAAGTTTCAATAACATTTATCCTGCAGTTCTATAACTAATGTTTAGGATCAGAGTAAGTTAACTTCTGATCATAAAACTTTACATAAAGCATCACATTGGGTGGAAGTTTTACCCAAAGCTGAGTGTTATTCACACAGAAAACGTCTGTCTCCTCAGATACTGCTTGTTCTCGAGGATTTGCCCGCATGAAGGGTCTCGTTTGTGAAGGTAAGAATGACAGTAGTGAAACATGTCCATTGCCTGTTCTGTCCTTTTGTCTTATAAATGTCTTATTTCAATCTTAAAACACTATTTTCCCTGCAGACATTAATGAGTGCGAGGTGTTCCCTGGCGTGTGCACCAATGGGCGGTGCGTGAACACGCAGGGCTCGTTCCGCTGTGAGTGCGCTGCGGGTCTGACCCTGGACAGCAGCGGGCGCACCTGTGTGGGTAAGAAGACCTGGGACGGTTTGTCGTCTCTGCTGCGGGGAGGCTAAATGTGAAAACAAATGTTTCTTTTTATTTATTGATTTTTATTACATTTYGTCAGACATGCGCAGCGAGCAGTGCTACAAGAAGTGGCACGAGGATGAGTGTGGCGAGCCACTGCCGGGGCGGTATCGTGTGGACATGTGCTGCTGTTCTGTCGGGGCCGCCTGGGGGGTCGACTGTGAGGAGTGTCCCAAAGAAGGGACCCCTGAGTTTAGCACTATATGTCCTAGAGGTCCAGGCTTTGCAAACAGAGGAGATATTCTGACTGGCAGGCCCTTCTATAAAGGTATCCATCTGGATTAGAGCAGCATTGATCTTAAATTGAAAACAGTGTAAATTTAAAAGCTGCATTCGTTTGTGTTTCCTTCTAGATGTGAATGAGTGCAAGGTGTTCCAGGGTCTGTGCACCCATGGGTCCTGCAGAAACACAATTGGCAGTTTCAAGTGTCGCTGCAACAGCGGCTTCACTCTCACAGCAGAGGAGAGGAACTGCACAGGTTAGGATATAGACAGGAGGAGTAGATTTCATATAAGCTGAATACACAAAATAACAGTTGCTTTGTTCCAGATATTGACGAGTGCCGGATCTCCCCCGACCTGTGCGGCCACGGCACGTGTGTCAACACTCCCGGCAGCTTCGAGTGCGAGTGCTTCGACGGCTACGAAAGTGGCTTCATGATGATGAAGAACTGCATGGGTAGGCTCGCAGCACAGTCGTCTACATGAAGCACGCTGATTCGGCTGYACTCGTGTTCACTTTTGTTTTCATTCCTCGTTGCCAGACATTGATGAATGTGAGAGAAACCCCCTGTTGTGCCACGGAGGAACCTGCCTGAACACAGATGGGAGTTACGAGTGCGAATGCCCCCCTGGGTACCTGCTCAGCAACGATGCATCTGTCTGTGAAGGTGGGGCAATCATCACACATCCTGGATGAATACAGTTATTTAAAAGCTTGTTTGATTTTAACAGCAGTTTCTTAAAAACRCAAAGTGACTACTCACTAATGCATTATTATAAAATGAGCAAACAAATAGTCATTTTATCATTTTAGATCAGGATAACCCCAATTTAACTAGTTCTTTATAATTGTGCATATTTGTAATACAGTATATTGACTCTTCTCCTTTAAAAACAGTTATTTATTKTGAATGACCCTTTTTTACAACTAGCAGCAACATAAGTTATAGTTTTTGTACAATAAACTCCTAAAGAGGTTGTTTTAAATTTAAAA